TTAGGGTTCGGTGACCCTCTTCTTTTCTCAGATCCGAATGGATCTAATCTGTTTCCTACCCCTAACATGATCTACATCTAGACAAAGGATTTCGATAGGCTAGATCTATACCCAGTGAGGCTCTGATACCATTGTTGAGATCGAAAAGATCATTTAGGGTTAGGTCTAGCGGGTTCTCTTTACTATGAATGCGATATCGAGAGTAGAGAGACAGAGAGGAATAGAAGAAGAACGTGTCAAACCTGACACCGCAGAGGGAGATGGTCCAGAAGCCGCCATCTCGTTCGTCGGTGAAGTCTGCGCACGGGCAGTGACGTTTGGGGAAAAGGTCAATGAAGTCATCGACGTCGATGGAGCGGGGCGACGTGGCTGGTGGCTTCCCGTCACTGGCTGCGCCCCTCTCGGATCGGGATTAGGGTATAGTTTTTGGTGGGGAGCTCGGCTCACGGTAAACCTCGTACTCAGAGCCGCCGGCCCCCACCTCTATATATAGCGCAGTGTGACAGGGGCCCTCCACCCATAGTGGACTGGGCGCCCCCGATCAAGGCGCAGATCAAAGGCCCAACTGGGCCATTGGGCCCAGTTTGGGATTAGAGATCAATCTAACAATGTGATGAACAATTTTGTAGAGTAACACTTGTGGTAGTTACCATTTTATCTCCTTGGGATGACAACTAACAAGAATAGATGTTGCTTGTAGTACCTGCAGCTTGCTCCTAGTTATGCGTCATTTTGGTGCTGAAGCTTAGCAGTCAACAGAGAACTTCCTGCTATCTGTTTCTCGATATATCCAGCAAAGGAATGGAACAATATGGGTCTGCTCTATTTGCGAGTTGAGACTCCGGATCGTCGGGCATGTGTAATTGATCAACTTCACTGAAATATACCGTCTGTGGACAAGCCTCAGTGATATTCTGGTGTGTACAACTCAACCATCGCCGGACCTCCGACGTGTCCATTTGCCATAGTCCAAAAATTCCAACACTTCGGCGTGTACACCACCTCAACGCTGGATTACCCTGCGTATACAAACGCACTGTAAATATCTCTGGCGACTAGCTCGACAAAATCAACAACACCGGATGAGTTAGATCTTTACCGCGGTACTCTAAAATGACCATGACCCTTTGTTTATTTCGATCTGACGGTTATGAACACATATTACCTGGTAATAAGTGAAATATATGTTTTATTATGTAAAATAGGATAAATAATGAAAGTTTTAGATTAAATAATATTTTTTTCTAGATTTGATAGATACACGTGTGATCTTTAGATATGGTAAATCTTTGATATATTTTGATTACCATGTAATATTGCAGGTGACCATATATGCTTCATTTTGCTTGCAATGTGATTTGCAAGTGTGATTTTTTTATTTTGTAGAGGGAAGGATACCAAGGAGAAGGCAAGAACGACGCCCCAAGGTGCAGCATCACCCCGAAGTTCATCCCCATTGCTAGGGAGGAGCAAGGAATGCTCCCCTCCAGTGAATTAGTGGCGAGAAAGAAGAAGAAGGAGGAGGCAAGAAGAAGCCCAATCCGACCTCCACACAAACCTAGAGATCACCAAGGTAAGATATTGCTTGTTTGGTGAGTTCTTGCTTAGCCCTTACAACCCTAACCCTAGGAATCACCCAAAGAAGCCTCACACATGGTAGACTAGCCACCAATGTACCTTCCTAGATGGGTTCTAAAGGCCTCTAGGAACACCACATAATAAGTATTACGTGAAGTTTTGGCCTGATCCAATCTCAACAAGATCAGGATTGAACTTCGAAGCCTCCATTGTGCACTGACAAAAAGTTTGCCAAAACACATAGCCAGTCCACCAGAGCAAAAAACAGCTGGTATAGACTTAGACACCTATGTGCAAACTACTCAAATAGTTCAGTAGTTTACCCAGATAGTCCATAAGTGCACAACTTGTCCCACTAGAACCATAGAGGCACTATATGTCCCTAGGGACATTATGGTGACACTCATGGATGGTCCATGTATACATGTTTGCTATTCTAGAGACTAGTCTATCCCTGCTATGTTCACACGGACGGTCTACACAGTCATACGATGCACTAGACTTGAGCATCAGAGACTTGTGTGAATCTACTGAGGTCAAAAGGATGGTCCTTGTGCTCATATAGATGGTCCTCCATACACAAATGACTCCATAGATTAAGACTTTCACCTTGTTCCCAGGGATGGTATGAGAATACACTCGGATAGTCAAACCATATAAGAGCCATACAAAACCAAATCGCCTATGAGTTGTCTAGAAAGATAGTCTAGTGAGATAGATGGAAAGTCCACGAGGACACAACCGTGCAGTCTAGAAAGACACAAAGTCCTAAGTTGTTCAGGTGAGTCATTCGGTATATCACATGACAATCCATGATACCACATCAGAAGAGTATAACCCTAGCACAAGCCCAATTTGTTTAGGCAAACAATCCACCAAGTCACATGGACGGTCCATTAGCACCCCACCAAGTAGTAACATTATTGTTTAGCCCTAGAAAATTCCACTTGGACGGTTCAACCTTCCTAACTAACGGTCCATGTGAACTATGTAGTGCCAAGTTACCTAAGCCCATCCTATGGATGGCTCAACACCTCAAACTGGACAGTCCAACGAGTATTGCCATACAATCTATATATGACATGTTCTAATGAACAACTAGGAGGGGAAATGTCTAAAATATGAATAAGAGAATCAATGTGATCGAAGGCTTGGTGAGACAGGTTCTTTGAAGACATTACTCACTTGGGCTGGTTAAGGATCGTATACATGTTGCAGTGAGTTTTGAACACCTTTCATACTTAGTACATGTCATATTATGGGGATGGTAAGCCAAACTTTATGTTTGATTGGGTGATCTTATGGATTCAGAGTGATTTAGGGCGAGGAGTAGCTAGAAACTAGTATTTCCGAACATCTCGACTATCCATTAGACATTTTGGACAAACGTGGAAAAGGTTTAGGTAGTGAGTTCCTTTACCTCTTATATATGCACTGACTTTGTGAGCAAGTGCCTGGTTTTTGGCTTTTAGAGTAGACTCGTGATGAAAGGACTCGTAGAATGTCGAGATCCACCCTCATGCTTAAGTTCTTGCTATCTCCTAAGGTTGTGCTATGCCTAGTTTGTAGTTTGATAGGTGGACCATTTTATTTATTCCACCTGCTTTTTTAGAATTACACAGTACAACGTAGACGCTCACAACACACACGCACATTCACCCCTGCCAACACACGTATGCAAACCCTATCCCTATGAGCACCTCAGAAGAACTAAGCTGGCAGATCTTGAGATTCACGAAGTCACCACTAGCGCCTCGCTGTCCACGGGGATGTCGCCTACCACTGAAAGCATAGCACCGTTAAATCCTGGAATAAATCCAGAAAAATACGAGCACCCGTGCCAAGTCGAGGACTTGAACCCGGGTGGCTAGGTTCCACCACAAGGAACCTAACCAACTGATCTATGATCAGTTCGCTTATTCCACCTGCTTTAATGTAAACCAATATGTTTACCTTGCTATGGCCTCAATGCATGTTTCTTTGAGTATCATTCGAGTATGACATGCGGAGTACAATTCTTTTTCATGGTGCTACTTTTGAGTTGTTGCAGGTGAGATGGGCTTTGTGTATGGCTACTTCTATGCTCCCAACCCCTTTGTTGAGTGGGAGTATAGCGGTTACCCATGAGTAGCTTAGCTCATGGTTGTGGCATGAACCATGAATGTATCTTTCAATTTGTTATGTATGTTGTAGACTTCTACTACAGTGTCTTAGTGTTGAACTCAATTGTGTTGAACAAGAAGTGCTATAACTTAACTAATATTCATTAAATAAGAACTTGTGTGAGAGCTATATGATGTTTTTATATGCAATGTATCATGTGTATTTTGCACGTAGTGTACATCATGGATTATGCGATTATAGGAACGAGTGGATTAGTTGTATTAAATCAAGTGTGACCAATAGTGATAGCTTGATTTTGATATGATTAATTGGAGTGTCCTTGCATGGTGCACACACACATCTCTTGACCTACCGGGTTTTAGTTGCAAATTATTAGAAAACCAATATGTAAACTGATCATGATAGGATCTTTCCGAAACCCTACTTCCCTAGATTGTATTTGTATAAGGCAGGGTAGGAAGACCCCTTATCGTTACCACTTTTCCTTAGCCTTTGCATACAGCACACAAGCAATAGAATCCACAAAACATAACATAGGGTGTTGTCTCCTCACAAGGTGTTGAACCTATCTAAACTCTATCTCGTGTACTACCATATAGATCCGTTTCACACACAATGCGTACATAAATCATTATCAAGTGCCAAAACACCCATAAAAAGCAACACCTATAAAAAGTAATTTTGATTAGGTATACACGAACTTAAATACTTATGTCTTTTATAAAACTCTAGCCCGTATAAAAACACACGTCGATAGCCTTTGTATCATAAATTTAAAATATAGAAACTAATGGTTTATAAAATAACTTTATGCAAAATTTCATGTACATGCAACAAAAACCAATGGCAAAAACACAACAAACCAAATGGTACTACCTCTGTCAAAAAAAAATACAATTCTAAATGCATTATCGGTTAAAGTGAATGAAGTTTAAAAAATATATAGTTAAAAATACTAATGCTTATAACATTAAATAAATATACTATAAAAATATGTTTCATCATTTCATGACAAATATAATATTATCTATTTAGTACGATAAATATTAGTATTTTTTATATATATTTTTTAAACTCGACATACTTTCATGGTACGGTTCTAAAATTGGCCTACCATGCTGCCATCCCATCATGAACAGTCTCGAGTCTAGTGTCCTTACTTTTTTTATTCTCCACTAGTACCACTACTTGCGCCTTGCACTTTACTCTTCCCTCACCTCTGGCAGCTGCTTCGAGCTCGGTAGCTGAACAAGTAAAGCAGCAGCGGGAGCAGCTAGATAGTAAGATAGTGATCCTCCATGGGCAACACCTGCGGCTTCGGCCACATCCGTGGCCTCCGTGGTGGCCTCTGCGCCGACGTCGACGTCGCCGATCTGATGCAGGTTCGACTTTTGTGTCCCTACCGTGTACCGTGTACCGTGTAACCGACGCCGTGTTAGAGATGGATAACCTGGATCTCCGACTTCTGCCGTCGAATTAAGAAGAAGGGTGGGAGTGATGCAATAAGAGGGATGAGATTGAGGGACGATCAAGGGACATAGGGATTTATTTACTTGAAAGGCAAAGAGTAGATATGGACGAGTATCTTAGCCTTTCATGTACTTCCCATTGCAAGAGATTTTTTTTCTAAAAAGACAAGAGATTGTTCTTTCTCAATAATAAATTGATGATACGAGGATCCTCCTGGACCAATCTGTTGTTATTGTGACCAGAGCAGTTCGTGCAATCTTTTAACCGAATGTTTTCAGTTACGTGTGCGTGATTGGGTATTTTTGGCAGGCTGCTGGTTCAAACGCTGGACATCTGATGAGTGGTGGGGTACTTGCCAACAGAGTGGAGCGTTCTCAGTATCAAAGCAAGTGAGATGCTGCTCTATGTTTCTTCGTCAGATAATCAATTCATTAAATTGCGAGAAATATCTCGCTACTCCGTCCATTCATCGGATGTTTGACACATGGAGTATTAAATATAGACTAATTATGAAACTAAATGCACGGATTGAGACTGTTTTGCGAGATGAATTTTTTAAGGCTAATTAGTCCATAATTTGATAATATGGTGCTACAGTAAATATGTGCTAGTGATGGATTAATTAGGCTTAATAAATTCGTCTCGCGGACTACTGATAGATTCTATAATTTATTTTTTTATTAGTATCTAAACACCCTGTGACACTCTCTCCATGTGACACCTCCTCTGGCCACATACTCATTTTTCTCTCTTTGTTGTTCATAGCACCGAGGACATTGACGAGTCGTCTGCGGAGGAGCTGCGCGACGCGACGAGCTATGCGAAGGACAACGCGTTGCTGATCCAGGTGCCGGTGTTAGGAACAACAACGAAGACATTCTGGCGATTATCTGATGAAGCCACTAGGATCAGCAGAAAACTTGCATTGATACTGAGGAACTACCACTCAAAGTGCAAGTGCCTCACTGCTCCTCTGCAGGTGTCCAACGTCTGGGTTGGGAGCGCTGGTGATGTCAAGCTTAGGGGGGCCAGATTCACTACCAAAGGCTTCAGCATTGAGCGTGTGAGGGATGACTACAAGAACCTGTCCAGGGTGCTCAAGCAGTTGATTAGTATCTCCGGTGGGGATATCAACAAATTGCCTCCGGACTACAGTGAATTCCTCTTGCTCCTGACGAAGGACAACCTTACAACGGAAGATGAGTTCTTGATTGTAAACAATGCTGCTCTGCTGCCCTTGAAAAACCGGTAATTTTTTTTTACTCAGTTTTATTGTCTTTGTTTGTGTTGTTGTTTGCTGTTGCCACTGGTCATTTGGTTACTTGTGTTCACAGCACTGAGGTCTTCCTGATGCTATACGATAGAATTGTCAAGTATCTTGGTAGAAAAAACCGAGCAAAGAGGAACATAATACTCTCCAGTCTCCCCTATGAGAACGACTGGTTGGATACTGCCACGTCAAATACAAAGATCAACCAGTGGGTTGTAAAATCAGATGTTCAAAAAAAAGAGTACAAAAGGACTGCACTTGATCTACTGCGTCTCAACAGAAATGTAAGAAGCCACTTGCATGAGTACGGCCATGATGACGATATTGAGGAAATTCTTTATTGTGAATGGCCCATGCTGCTCATCGCCATGGAGAAACAATTACACATGGAAGGTGAGCTCCAAGACACTGACATCAAAAACAAGTTCGGCTAGCCGTTCTGCTGCAAAACAGATGAACGATGTATTCTGCATTTCCATGGGTTGGTAATGGTAAGCTACTGTTCTTCGATCTTCAGTGAGAAAGTTTATAGCGATGGAGTGATATGCTACCTGGTTTATGTAATAGGCTAGTTGCTTTATCTGGTCCCGTCAACTACAAGGCAAATCTGGCCAGCTTTTGTAAAGTATGCTGTAAAATATCGCCTTAAAACTCTAAAATTATGCTGTGAAATTGACTTGCCATTGAGTTTGCATTCATGCTTTAATCTCTGGTTCTTATAAAAATCTCTATTGCATCAGTAAGCAACGCTAGCAATATTCCTCGGAAACACTTGCAGTTGCAGATACATATCTTAAGTAGTAGTGTTGCACTTGAGTTTTATGCAAATTATTGTATCTGATGAAGCATTTCCCCTCTCTTCTAACCTCGATCCCACCACTCCGTCTTCCATCACTCAGGAAAGCACACAGGTTAAAGGGTAGGCCCGTAGGGGACCATTTTCCTTAAAAAAAGAAAGAAAGAAAGAGCCGGTTGGGATTTGGGAACCTCTTTCATAAAGCTTTTGTACTAGTTGACAGGTTTTCTAATAATTCGTACATTTGGTGTGCCTAACAATACAAGTTGCTTTAATCCCTCCCGGAGTTCAACAGGGGTAAAGCCTAATATTGAGGAAAACGAAAGCCCTCCGAGTTTTCTTACGTCAAGGTTGTCCATACTAACTCAACCATGCTTAAACATGTTATAAAAAAAAACATGCTTAAACATGAACGTCGTCCATAAAAAAATGCAAAACAAACACGGTTATACGCCTTGGTTGCCGATTGCACAGATTAATACTTCAAAACAAGGGTAAGAACATAAGAGCCTTATGTTTAATACCTACTACTAATAAAAGTTACTTCCCTTTGCATATTTTTTCTCTTCGATTATTTTCTAACACAATACACATATAAATACTATGTAATCCTTATCTGGTTGTGATAAATTTATCATGCATTTTTTCATTCATGTCTATAGTTTTTTCTCTTTGCATGGCACCTCCATATGCTTTCAAACTGCATTTTGTTAAAATCTTAGCTTAAGTTATGGTGGCTCTTGTTGTAATCTTGATTTATGATGCCGTGAATCTAGATTTGGATTTTAAAGTTTTATGTTTGTCCTTAAGTTAATCTGAAACCCTAAGCTTGTTCTACATATTATTTAAAAATCTCTTTTTATTAGGCTCAAAACATTGACTAATTAGGCTCAAAACGTTCGTCTCGTAAAGTACAACCTAACTGTGCAATTAGTTTTTGATTTCGTCTATATTTAATACTCCATACATGTACCATAAATTTGATGTAATATAAAATTTTCTTTTTATATAGTATCAAAGTTGAGAGTTGGGAGCAACTAAACAAGGCCTTATTTTTCTTCTTACCCCTTACACTTTACTCTTCCCTCACCTCTGACCGCAGCTAAACAAGAAGCAGCAGAAGCAGCAAGATAGTGATCCTCCATGGGAAACACCCTCGGCGTTGGCGTTGGCGTAGGTGTCGGCCTCGGCCTCGGCCTCGGCCTCACCGTCGGCGCCGCCGCCCTGATCCAGGTTCGAATCCACATCGGTGTTAGCAAAGTACTGCCAGTAACATAGTCCGTGTTCTTCCTTCATTTTCTTCCCCCTTTTGTGCATCCCTGCCATATTGCAATAATTTATATTGAAAATATGATTGCTAAAATCACAATTTTATCATGTGGTTTACGACTTTACTATCTTAGTTGATCTGGTTGGTTCTACGATTTTTTACGATTAATTATACGACTCTAGTAGTTCTAATCCCACAATTTGCAATCTAACCGTTGGGTTGTGATTTTAACACCCTTGGTCCCTACTGTAGTACTCCTGTGTATGTGCTTGTTCAGACCTGCTGGCTGCAGTGGTGGTCTAAATACTCTAACTCAAGGTGTCGCCGTTAACTTTAGTAAAATGTTATGCCCTTGACAGCATATTTAGCCACAAGCAAGAATGGCATTTAATTTACAGTACATTTTTACCTTCTCAGGATCAAAGGTTATGATTTCTTTGAAGTAGTCGAATCCGTGCATGCAAGGTCATCCTCTAACAGATCGTGTAGATCGCCTATGTGTGCCTGCCTTAATTTAGTCTAGGAATATGAGGAATATCAGCCTTTGACGACCTTCCCGTGCCAAGAGATTTTTTAAAAAAAAAAAAGAAAAGAAAATACAAGGGATTGTTCTTTCTTCAAAAGGGACAGAGGATCCTCCTGGACCAATCTGTTTCTACTGGGAGTCTGGGACCAGAGCAGTCCTTGGCTCCTTGCAATTTTTTCACCTGAATGTTTTGGTTTCGTGTGCTTGATTGGGTATTTTCGGCAGGCTGCTGGTCCAACAATTGGCGACGAAGTGGTGGCTTCTCAGTATAAATTCAAGTGAGATGCTGCTCTTTGTTTCTTGGTCGATTCAGTTTTATTGTCTCTGGCCACAGACTCATTTTTCTCTCTTTGTTCATAGCACTGAGGACATTGACGAGTATTCTGCCGAGAGGCTGCACGACGCGATGAGCTATGCAAAAAACAACGCGATGCTGATCCAGGTGTCGGTGTTAGGAACAAGAAACACATTCTGGTGATTATCTGATGAAGCCACTAGGATTAGCAGAAAACTTGCATTGATACTGAGGAACCAGCACTCAGTCTGCAAGTACCTCACTGCTCCTCTGCAGGTGTCCAACGTCTGGATTGGGAGCACTGGGAATGTCAAGCTAAAGGGGGTCAGTTTCACTGGCGAAGGTTTCTTCAGCATTGAGCGTATGACTACAAGTAACTTTCCAGGGTCCTGGAGCTGTTGATTACGATCTCGGGTGGGGATATCAACAAGTTGCCTCCGGACTACAAGGATTTCCTCTTGCTCTTGAGGAGGAACAACCTTACAAGGAAAGATGAATTCTTGATTGTAAACAATGCTGCCCTGCTGCCCATGAAAAACCGGTAATGTTTTTATTCGGTTTTATCGTCTTTGACTCTTTGTTGTTGTCACCACAGGCTCATTTTGTTACTTGTGTTCACAGCACTGAGGTCTTCCTGATGCTACACGATAGAATTGTCAATTTTCTTGGTCAGAAAAACCGATCAAAGAAGAACATAATACTGTACAATCTCCCCTACAAGAATGACTGGTTGGATACTGCCACGGCAAATGCAAAGATCAACCAGTGGGTTGTAAATGTTAAAAACGAGTACAGAAGGACTACAATCGATCTATTGAGGCTCAACAGAAATGTAAGAAGCCACTTGTATCAGTACAACCACGACGATGATATTGAGGAAATTCTGTATTGTGAATGGCCCATGCTGCTCATTGTCATGGAGAACATGTTACACTTGGAAGGTGAGCTCCAAGACACTGGCATCCATAACAAGTTCGGCCAGTGTCCTACTGCAAAACAGATGAAAGATGTATTCTGCATTTCCATGGGTTGGTAAGCTACAAGCTACTGTTCTTCGATCTTCAGTGCGAAAGTTTATCAGTTTATGGTGATAAAGTAAATGTTGGCCCACAGGATCACTGGCTCAGGTGAGTGAACCACTCACCGGTCTTGTCGGGTACCCGCTAGTGTTGCCGAGCACTCACTAGCCGTGCCGACCACGAACAAGCGTTGTCCGTCCTCACACACTATGGCTAGAGCTTGAAGAAGAAGGGAGAACAGAACATACACACACAGTACAAGACACCAGCATTGGCCGAAGCCCTGTATGGGAGATGGCAAATCTGAACTCTCTTTACTGAGTTGTCGTGTATGTCTATTTATACAACTCTATCCGTCTAGTCCTAATACAGCGCACATGCTGCAACAGTAACTAGATAACACAGCAGGGCTGACTCTGCCCCGGCCTCTGCATGTGGCTACAGTGCTGCAGGTGAGCCGTGCGGCGCCTGCACCTGCAGCGACTACAGTATCACAGCAGGGGACCTTTTGGTGCCGCCTTCCCTTGCTGTGTTCACACAAGGTAGCAGTAGATTATCTAACAATCTTTTCCTAATCCTACTGCTAACCCTTGTACCCCCTCCATGCCGATCATCTCCTTCAGCTCCGTGAGTCGAAGACGTCCGAGCGGCTTGGAGAGGATGTCCGCAAGTTGCCGACCAGTTTCGACAAACTCGATGACAATCTGCCCTCCATCGACACAATCCCTGAGGAAGTGAAACTTCACGTCGATGTGTTTGCTCCGGTCGTGCAGAACCGGATTCTTCGCGAGGGCGATGACGAGCTGTTTATCCACCAATAGTGCTGGTGGGTGAGTTTCCACGCCGGTTAGCTCGCCCAGCAGCCGGCGTAGCCACACAACTTGGCACGCCGCTGTGGCCGCTGCTACGTACTATGCCTCGCACGTAGACAACGCCACCACCTTCTTTTCAGCGATAGCCATGAAATTGGAGCCGGCCCGAGGAAGACGAGCACGCCAGAGGTGCTCCATCGTCCGTCGATGTCCCCCGCCATATCTGCATCGCTGAACACAGTGAGATGCAGCCTACTCCCGCCGGTCTTGGTAAAGATGATCCCTTGATCTAACATCCCCTTGACGTAGCGTAGTAGCCACTTCACCGCAGCCTAGTGATCCTCTCTGGGATCCTCCATGAAGCGACTGACGTAGACCACGGCGAATGCAATGTCCGGCCTCGTGTGGACTAGGTAGCGCAGACCGCCGACGATGCTCTGGTAGAGTGTTGCATCCGCCTTCGCCGCAGTGCTGGCCTTCGTCAGCTTCAGTCGCTCTTCCATCGGAGTCACGCATGACTTGCACTTAGCCATGCCGCTCCTCTCCAACAGCTTGGAGGCATACGTGTTCTGACCGAGCGTGAGTTCCTCCTTTCCCTGTCTCACCTCGATGACGAGGTAGTAGGAGAGTGCGTCGAGATCGCTCATTCGAAAACGAGCCGCCATCTCACGCTTGAAGCCGTTGATGTCCTCCGTACGCGCGCCAGTGACGATCAAGTCATCCACATACACGCCGACGAGGAGCTCCTCCTTCCCCCATCGCCGTGTGTAGAGCGCGTGCTCAGTTGCGCACCTATGAAACCCAAGCTCACCCAGCGTGGCGTCAAGCTTGGCGTTTCATACTCGAGGGGCCTAACGCAGCTCGTAGAGCGCCTTGCACACTCGGAGCACCCCATGCTCCTCTCCCTTGACGGCGAAACCTGGAGGTTGCCTGACGAAGACCGTTTCCGCCAGTTCGTCGTTGAGGAAGGCCGATTTAACGTCCAGGTGATGGACGTGTCAGTCCTGTCGACACAGAATTTTCGTCTTTGTGCCGAGGACACACGCAGCAAGCCGGAAGGGTCCGCTCGATGGAGCAGATCCGCCCAGCTTCAGCGCAAGGGTGGTTGATCCTGCGCAATCCTCCCGAGACGTGCCAGTCAATTTGACCCTGCAATTGACAAAGAGAGAAGGCTCATCAGTAATTAAGGGCGGAACGTACCGGTGTTGCCAGACAGTCCCGAATGTGTGGCTCTAAGAGCCGATATGAGAGAAGATCGACTAAATAGTCGATCCCAGTATATTCACAAGAATGAATCGGTTAAAGCTCATGGGTTGTATAAGAAGAATCGGTTATCATTCAGGATAAATGTTGTTTAAGCAAATATTAATCAATGGCAATAAGATATCAATGATGATCGGTTTGTACTGAGCCAATGATTACAAGTAACCGAACTCCTTTTATATAAAGAAACAATTCAACAGCTCTTAACCATCTAATAAAGATAAAACTAATGAACATGTTAGATCTCATCTATCGCCATAACCAGTGAGTGGGGCATGAGGAAGAATCATGTAGGTCATAGAAACAATAATAGACTCGATGACCCTAACTCATTACTAATATCAGTGGGGCATGAGGTAGAATCATACAGGCCATAATACAATAACAAGATCATGGGGCTAACATATCTTTCAACTTATCTCTACTTCAATGATCTCGTGATGTGAACTGTTCGTGGAAGCATTCGATATCGGCTAAACAGCCGATTCAGGCATAGCGCATAGTTAAGGTCATGCCTTCTCAGGAACGGATGTACCAACTAACGATCCCCACTCCATGGTGCCAACAGTGGGGTAAGAGGCAGAATCCCACAGGCCGTGATGATGGGCCATGGAGCGGTTTTCATTAACTAATAGATCTACTCAAGATCGGACATGCCTTGATCGCACGCTATGCACGATTAAGATTGACGCAAAACAGCCGATAAAAACATAACTCATCGCTTAAGATGTAGATTAGATCAGTTTTAGATTAGCAAACAATGAGTTAAACAAGATATAAGACCGATCTAGATCAATCTCAATCGGGCAGAGTGATATTGCTGTAATTAGATAAACAATGAAAGCAATAAGCAATATTGGTAACTTAATGAATCTACCAAAGACTACCATACTAAGGTAGAGCCGATAACTTGACCTTGATCTAATTCAAGCAGTGGGGTGCGAGGCAGAATCACACATGTCATACTTGAATTAGACAACAGTCAATAACTAGCCTATACTAGAGTCGCAGTGGGGGTCGACCGGATCGATGCAGCCATACGAACAGAGGTATAAACCATGACGGTACTTACAGACAAGTAGTGGAGGTCGATCGAATCGATGCAGCCGTACTGGTGAAGAACTTGCCGAGATCTACTCTACTCCTACTCCTAAGGGGTGGCCGGAGCAAAAAAAAAGTAATTGACTTTGTATTTGATTGATTGATTGATTTCCTTTATAATAGCTGGAGTTTGGTATTTATACTCGGAGTCTAAACATGAATTCTACTCGAGCACGATACAACCTTTGGCATAAAATGAATATATTCCTAATTTAAGATAACTTAGACTCTAATCTTTCCCTTTTTGTAGAGTCCGGCATGTCTTGTCCCAGCGCCGATCATAGCCTCTGTCGTTATCTGCTGGCGCTATCTGAAGAAAGTCGATTCTAGTGCCGCATCCGAATCGGCTGGTTTTGATCTGCATGCAATTGATCCTTTGCCGACATGATTTTGGGAGCTCTCGAGCTTCTGAGATCCTTCTTCCAAATTCTGGTGTAAACACATGGCCCCCAATTTTGGGATAAAAGTAATTTTATTCCAAAATTATTCTGTCTGCATCCCTGATCGATCGACAGACACGGGTAGAGAACTTTGATCCGGGGCTCCACTATTTGTCGCCGCTTGCATCCATTCACGAGCATATGCCTCAAAACTTTTACAAGAGCATCACTGTTTCACGGGTATTTTGGACTTATCTTCCGGCCGGCTATAAAACGCTTGCCTGACCTGGCGAGAGTAACTCAATACTTCAGCCATGTTTTTCTTCCATCCATCTTTTCAAGTGTTCTCAACTCCGCTGGACCCTCCATGGCCTATCTCTTTGCGACAAAGATCTTGAGCGGTTAGAAGAATTCTTGTGCATAGGGTGATTGTGTCGCTCATTCTAGCACCTTGTTGAGCAAGAAGATCAGCTGTTGCGGCTAGAAGAAGTCTTGTGCCATCATCTGTGTCTTCTCACCATGCTCGTAGAGCTGTTCTAGTGTTTGTAAGGGCTAGAATTGTGTGGACACTTTTTCCTTGTTTGTTCCATCAAATGCTTATCGGGAGAAACGCAAGCTTTTTTCAGCAGTTTCCCAGTCATCGAGAAATCTGTGGGCATCTTCTAGTCAGCGGCTTTCCCCTTTCTTTGGCATAATCTTATTAATGGACCGATGTGTCTTGGTTTATGATGATCCTCGGCCTTGTGGGGATCCGGACTCTCTTCAATCCATAAAAAGAAGCCTTGGTGGGTTGATTTTTGGCCCATGTAAATTCTTTATATTCGTCCCACGATGCTTCGTAACTTGGGGGGAAGCGATAAGTTTGAATCTGTTACCTCTTCGTTATCCGTCCCCTTAATTCCTAGAGTGTCGATCTGTTTTCGTCTCTGATTTCAATTTCATACCTCCGGCGAAACCGATTTTGCCTTCCCGGGCTATATAACGGGCCACGGCTGAGGGTCGGGTAACAACCCACTTTGTCTCAATCCCTCGGCATCCTCAGTGTAGTCCCCTGTTTTCGTAAGCTTGAGATCATGGAGAACAGCGAGAGGCCTGCTGAGGGGGTTCTCGACGGATCTGCATCATCGCGCCAGCGCCTTCACCATCAAGAGGGTGCAGTTCGTGATGTACCTACTTCCTCTAGTCATAGGGCCGTCTCCGTTCAGCCCCTGGGGTCTTCCTTGTCAATAGCTCATCGCCAGCTTCCATGCTACCCGAGGCGGCGGATCGGCAATGATGACCTGCTCGTCGCCATTGGCAGTCACGGCCAGAGTCTTGCCGAATGTCTCTCTCTCGCAGAATCAGCCCTGGCCATGGCTCGATGCCGATCGCCTCCCGTGGTTGATTCAATGGATGATAAACTGGCCAAAGCTGAGGCCAGAATCATGGGTGAGATATCATAACCTTTGTTTCCCTTCAATT